AAAATATATTATTGTATTGGTGTATAACGGATAATTATTAAATAATTTTTGGTGCATCCAAAAAGTCATTCTCATTTTCCAATCTTTGAAATTAGCTGCTAGTTATAAAGATGGACAGAAAGCCAAAGCAACAACAATTAAACAAACTTTTTGTAATGATTTAATATTATATACTTCTTAATTACAACAAATAATTGTTTTCTCTATGGACGGAAAATTATACCAGTTCATTTAGAAAATTATAAAATGTTACAATAATTTGTATTTATGTGAGAAATTAAGTGACTTATAGATTTGATTCAAGGTGTTCAATTGAAAACATAGCCACATGCTTCAAATACAAGGTAAAGTTTAACATGACTGAATCAGTAGACAATAAGGAATATACACGTGGCAATACTCTGGAATTTTCTGCTGTTTCCAACAGGTGCATGGATAGAATGCATTTACCTGAAGAATGTGGGGAATATTGTGAATGTTTCATCCATATCCCAGAAGGAAGCTTCCATCAGCTTCTCCACATTTGTGGCTGTTGTGAATGACAGCCCTTACTCATCAAAGGTAGCTTTTCATCCTAGGAAATCTTGACCAATTGTTACAACCGCTGGAATTTTAATAATGCCTTCAGTTCAGATAGCATTTTCTGTTTCCATTGCTTTTCTGCTACTGAAGAACTAGCTCATTGTTTAAGGTGAAAATCCTGTATGATATTGTAGCCTAAGTAACTTATAAGTAACAGTACTTATTTATTCATCTGTCCCATGGGTACTAATTCATCAAGTAGTGTATTCCTTGACAAAGACAATGACAATATACTTTGTTAAGGATTCAATTTTATTTTGAAATCCAGTGATACAAATTCTCCTGGATGTGTAACATTTACTTGACTTCCAGAGATAGTTCTGATAGTTCTTGTAGAAATAGCGGTTGAACTAAATAGTACCAATGATAAAAATGTATATTTTTATCTAGGGCGTCATATTGCTTTGGCTCTCCTACCATCTATATTTAATAGCAACTTTTGAAATATTAAATTATTTTACTTTTGTTAATGAATAAGTGTTGTAAGTACCACAAAGCTACCAATCTTATGATTTGCAACTTACATTTGAGAAATGGCAGTATTGTACATAATAGAAATTTATTTCCTGTCATTATGGCTGGTGACACATGGCATTCTCTAGATCTAAGCCAAAACAAGTGTATTTGAAAATGTTATGACAAATGAGTAAAGTTTTTTAAAAAATAAAAATTGAATACTAGCATATTTTACTTGATGTTTCTCATGAGTAAATCAAATACATAAATGTTGTTTCTGTTGAAAAAATGTTGTTCTTGGACAGGGATAATATAGTTTCCTGCAGATTCTTATTGGTGGACTTTATAATACAGTTACCAGAAGAATCCAATTAATATCCACTGAAATCTGGAGGGAATATTATATCGAAGCAGAAGGAAAAAAGAATTACTTCTTGAGCTACTCTTATGTTGCAGTCAAAATCTACCTACTGAACAACTATATATGATGATGGAAGGATATTCATCACTTTGACTTACAAAATTATGCATATTTCAATAGAGTAGAAGTGGAAAAATGTAAAAATATATTTTCAGTTGAAGTTATTACTGAAATGAAAAAACTAAAATTACAGTACTGGAAGGAAGTAACTTTTCTGATTGGGGTCAGAAATTTTGACTAAAACACTGAAAGAAGTTAGAGTCTATCTTTTCTGTTCTTGGAAATGTACATATTATTTGTTATTTATCAATCTCTCTCTGCCACCTATAATAAATCTAAGTGGTAAAATCCAGAAAACCACTAGAGATAAAAAAAAAAAATCTGTATGTTTTTGCTGTTGATTAGTGGTGGGCAATCCATATATTTCTATGCTCTGATGGCTCACTAATACAAATGTGAAGGCACTAATAACCTTTTGCAGATAATGTTTTCTTATAATGCATAATTTTTAAAGGAAATATAGGAAGTATAAAAACAGAACAACAATTTTGAAAAATTTTATAGATATTATTGCCAGTATAGAGATCACAGCAGAAATAATTGTGGAATGATAAAAGGAGATACTTCCAGAATGAGATGTTTTAATAAAATGAATAGATTCCATAATTACAACTTTTTTTGGAAGGAACCAAATAGCAAGGCTCTTTTGCAAAGATGCCCATTAATATAAGGGATTGGGCAATGGGATCTTTGGTTGCCAATATTTTTAATTTGAATATACTTACATAGAAATTTATTTTTTTCTTACAAAGTTGATACATTGCAGTAGAAGAATGCCACTGATATCCATGTTTAAAGACTGGAATCTAAACTTACTTGACAATTAATATTACATCTATTGTATTTTTAAGAAAATATGTAGAGAAATCAGAATAATAATTGCATACAATGTATTTATATGTCATAGATGATAATAGAGTACGTTTAATGAAACTTCGAGCTATAAATATGTAAAATGGTTTTCTGGAAGGTATTGTAAGTTACACAGAGTTGACACTGACCTGATGGCAAATAATCAACTGTAGAACTGATTCTACACTGTAATTACAGTGCTTATAAAATTGCATTAACTATTATTATGTAGTCAATCTATCAAAGTTTTATATATTTGTTTTTTTCTACCTAGGGATGTTCAGAATTTTATGTGTGTAAATTGTTTTGTGTATTGACTAGCAGGTTTCAAATTACTCTGTGCCTGAATCTTTCAGGAAGCTTAATTTGTACACAGAATAGAATGGGACATTTTGTTCTGGAAAGAAATGGTTTAAAGGTTAGCAAAAAAACAAAAACAAAACAAAAAACATTGGCCACTAATGAAAGACAGGGAAGTAAGAGAAGATGCTAGGACAGTGATGGCTAACCTTTTTGCTATCACGTGCCAAAAGTGGGGATCATGTGGCGAGGTCGCGCACACGTATGTCCATACCCATAATTCAATGCGCCCCCCCAACCCCCCACCAGCCCCGCTTTTGGCACGTGATGGCCCGGTGGGCCCAGTAGGCTCATTTTTGCCCTCCCCAGGCTCCAGAGTCTTACTTGGAGCCTGGGGAGGGTGAAAACGTCCCATTTCCCAACTTCAGGTGGGCCCGGAAGGCCTGAAAATTAGCTGGCCGGCGCACATATGCGCGCTGGAGCTGTGTAGGGCAACGCTCGTGTGCCCACAGATATGGCTCCGCATGCCACTTGCAGCACCCATGCCATAGGTTTGCCATCACGGTGCTAGGCTGATAGGGAAGTGGATAGATCAATGGAATTTTCCACTGTAGTTTCTAAAATGAGGGGAGAGAAAGGGCAATTAATAACAACCTTACAGTGTTTACTCTGTCTGGATTTTGTTTCATTTCATACCTAAATAAATAGTGGGTTTTGGACAGAGGTGAAATGTAAAATTTGTTACTACCAGTTCTGTGGGCGTGGCTTGGTTGGGGGGGGGTAATGTAACTGGGTGGGCGTGGCCAACTTTATTTTTATTTTAACTTTTCAAAACATTTTTTCTGAAAATGCAAAATAATGCTTTGAAAAGCCTCTGCCGATCAGGAACACAGCTGGGATCGTCAGAGCCTTTTCAAAGCCTTTTTTAAACCACCTCTTCCGGGGAAGAGTGTGTGTTGCCTGATCATCACAGGCAACACAGATCGTCAGGCAACACAGCTGATCGTCAGAGCCTTTTCAAAGCATTTTTTAAACCACCTCTTCCCTGGAAGAGGTTGCATAAAAAAATGCTTTGAAAAACCTCTGAGATCCCAGCTGAGCCACACAATCATCAGAGGCTTTTTTTTTACTTTTAAAACATTTTTTGGTGGAAGAAGTTGTAGAAAAAATGCTTTTAAAAGTAAAAAAAAAAGCCTCTGATGATTGTGCGGCACAGCTGGGCATGGGGGGGCGCAGGGATTTTTGCTACCAGTTCTCCGAACCACCCGCCGCCATCGGTACCAGATCGGGCGATCTGGTCCGAACCGGGAGCATTTCACCCCTGGTTTTGGATCTTGATTGTACCAAGCTGGGATCACATGATGTTTCACTTATTGTCCACAGTAGAACTGAGGCTATAAATCTGTCATGATCATATGAATTCTCACTTAATGGCCATTCTGCTTAGTGATGGAGTTGCCTGTCCCTGAAATTGTTAAGTGAGGACTACCTGTAATGGAATTGACTTGACCAAATTACTTGCATGGTAAATGCTTTCAGTCTATAAAGCTGATGATGTAGATAAACATACATGTTTTTTTTTTTAAAAAAATCATTTTAATGGTATACTATATTAATAACTAGGTTAATTGCTGTTGGGCCAATCAATTCTGTAATTGTAATTTGTTAAAGCTTTATCCTTAATGCCAAGGAATGATATTATGAGGAGAAGGAATGATAATAGAGACAATAGTTCTTGTGGTAGTGGATTTATAACCATATATATAGTGGTTATATTCAAATGTACAGAATAATTTATGTTAAAAATGTCCAAAGTTGACTCTGTATCTAGGTATACTAATTACATTAGTACAGTGAATGACTTGTAATTTACCAGACTTTTAAAAAATAATACCAAGTATTCTATGATATATAATCAGAAAAGTGTTCTTTAATAATATATTATTTTTAATTTGTATAATAAAATATATTTAAATAATTAAATGTTATCATTGCTTCATGTAAAGCATATTGGTAGATGGCATATGAATTTGTGATACATGGCATAAATATAAATATAGAAATGTAACAATCAATTCTACCAAAATTGTCATAAGCATAATATGTAACATAGGGCATATTTTACATATAGTCAGGTTGATAAAAGATTGAATTCTTTAGGGAATAATTTAAGTCCAATAGGCAAATCTTTTTTTTTCCTTGTGTCTACAGGATTTCCTTTTACTAATACTTACTTTATGCATTATGTGTATATTTCAAAGAATTTATAAAATAGGTATCGTGTAACAATTCTACAATAATCTTAACAATTTATTTTTTATACAAATAGAGTCCAGATGGTCGAATAGAAGTCAAAGGACAATATGGAAGATCATCACTACACATTAAAGATGTGACATTGACAGATTCCGGGAGATATGACTGTGAAGCTGCAAGTAGAATTGGAGGGCATCAAAAGAGCATGTATCTTGATATTGAATGTAAGTTAGATTTTTTGTTTCCTCTAAATGTAATAACAAAGTACTTTACAGTTTGTGTTGTACAGGTAGTCCTTGACATACAACCACAATTGAGCCCAACATTTCTGTTGTTCGGTGAGATATTTATTAAGTGAATTTTGCTCCATTTTACCATCTTCCTTATTTATTTATTATTTAAATTTCTATACCGCCCTTCTCCTTTCGGACTCAGGGCGGTGAACAGCCAAAAATAAAACATTTGTACACAAAAGTTAAAATAGTTTTAAAATAATTAAATAAACTTTATCCCATAATTTAAAACATTTCAATTAAAATCAGTATTAATTTTAAAAACCAATATAAAATCAGGCCAGCCTGGATAACTGAAAGAAATAGGTTTTAAGGGCCCGACGAAAAGTCCGGAGGTCTGGGATCACTCGTATCTCTGGGGGTAGATTGTTCCAGAGGGTAGCGCCATCACAAAGAAGGCTCTCCCCCTGGGGGTCACCAGCCAACATAGTCTGGCTGACGGCACCCTGAGGAGGCCCTCTCTGTGGGAGCAAACTGGCCGGTGGGAGGCAATTGGTGGCAGAAGGTGGTCCCGTAAGTACCCTGGCCCTAAGCCATGGAACGCTTTAAAAGTGATCACCAACACCTTGAAGCGCACCCGGAAGTCCACCGGAAGCCAATGCAGCTCGCGCAGGAGAGGAGTCACATGGGAGCGCCCCGTTGCTCCCATAATCCCCCGTGCGGCCTCATTCTGCACCAGTTGGAGCCTCTGGGTGCACCCCAAGGGGAGCCCCATGTAGAGAGCGTTACAATAGTCCAGACGAGAAGTGACGAGTGCTTGAGTGACCGTGTGTAAGGCGTTCCGATCTAGAAAGGGGCGCAACTGGCGTATCAGGCGAACCTGATAGAAGTCCCCCCTGGCCACGGCCATCATATGCTCTTCTAAAGACAGCCGTGCGTCCCGGAGGATGCCCAAGTTGCGGGCCCTTTCCATGGGGGTGTTGTGGGCCCGCCCTCTGAGCCTGTCCCATCGGAGGAAGAAAGCTCCGAGCATGAGGAAGAGGAGTCAGCCAGGCCTCCCTCTCCAGGCCCCTCCCCTCTGGCATTGTCTCAGGTGCCGGCCGAGGGAGAGGAGATTAGCAGGGAGACAGGTGGCTCGGATCAGAGTGACGGAGAAACATCATTCCTGGACGCACGCCTCCGAAGGCATGATAAACGATTGCAGCAGCTCAGGAGGCATGCTAGGGATTAGAACTGAGTCACTGGACCACACCCCAGAGACTATATAATAGAGGGTGGTGGTCAGTGATCCTTGTGACGAACAAAACTAACCTTGGATAGTCACTAAAGCCTCGTTCGGAACTGCTGAGAGAAATATTTGTTGTTGTTGGACATTTGGAAGCTGAGTATTTATCTTTCTGTTTTTCTGTGAAAATAAAGGCACTTGGCAGACGGTGTGTCTATCGCTGCCAAGTTGGAGATAAAGAAACTGGGTGTGTTCCAAAGTGTTTCCTTAACCTCGGCTGGCTGTGTTTGTGTGTGTGTGTGGACAGGGACAGATCAGGGGGCCAGTGATTCGCCCCAATAACCAGTGATGGTGCCAGCTGGCTATACCGGGACGCCGGCAGCTACAGCCACTCAGTCTTGGAAGGGTTGAGTCGAAGCCTGTTTCTCCCCATCCAGACCCGCACGGCCTCCATGCACTGGGACATCACTTCCAAGGCATCATTGGGATGGTCTGGGGTGGAGATGTACAGCTGAGTATCATCAGCGTACTGATGGAACTCCACCCCAAAACCACGGATGATCTCACCCAGCGGCTTCACATAAATGTTGAACAGGAGGGGCAAGAGGACCGACCCTTGTGGCACCCCACAAACAAGGCGCCTTGGGGTCGACCGCTGCCCCCCTGTAAACACAGATTGCGACCAGTCGGAGAGGTAGGAGGAGAACCACCGCAAAACGGTGCCCCCCACTCCCAGTCCTTCCAGACGGCGCAACATGATACCATGTCAATGGTATCAAAAGTCGCTGAGAGATCTAACAGGACCAGGATAGAGGAATAACCCCTACCCTGGGGCCTCCAGAGATCATCCACCAACGCGACCAATGCTGTTTCCGTGCCACAGTTCTTGTCATAGTTGTTAAGTGGATCACTGCAGTTGTTACATTAGTAACACAGTTGTTAAGTGAATCTGACTTTCATATTAACTTTGTTTGTCAGAAGATCACAAAAGGTGATCACATAACTCCAAGACATTGCAATGGTCATAAATATGAGTCATATGTCAAGCATCTGAATTTTGATCACGTGACCACAGGGATGCCACAATAGTCATAAGTGTGAGAAATGGTCATAAGTCTCATGTTTCAATGCCGTTGTAACTTTGAACAGTCAATAAACAAACTGTTGTAAGTCGACTATCTGTATTTATGGACTTACATTTAAACAGTTCTGTGACCAGTCACCAAAAGCTGTAGAAGCAAATGGGAGGCCTTTCTAATCCTAAAACAAAAATGCCATGATAAATTTTGTTTCAATAAGATTTTGTGCTTAAAACAAACAAGAAACATTGTTGCTGTATTACCGGAGGTAGAGAAGCCGATATATGCCCACTCTCCCCTCCTCTCTTTGTGCTATTTTATCTTCTTTTAGCTATTTCCAGGAAGTTATGAAAAGAAACATATATTTTAAAGAAAAGCAGGCATCTCACTCAGACGATCCACACTTCCTTTTACTTTCCCACTTCTGTTGTGGCTGCCCCAGCTTCATAACAGCACTCAGTGTGCTTTCTCAGCTGTCCAGTTGAGAGGCTTCTTCCAACCAGCCAGGGAATTTGCAACTTCCCTGTGCTCACCAGTCTGTGCCCCTCTCGTTCACCGTCCGTATAGGATGGCTTTGGTCAAGAGACGGCTGCGATATCGACGATCCCTCGGGAGCCGTCAAAGAAAATGTTATTTTGCCACGACGCTGGCCATGCCCTCCTCAATCAAACAATGTTGAAATAAAAATGGATGTTCTTTATTTTTTGAAAAAAAGTTGTGCCACAAAAATGTATCCTTTTTGCTGCTAAAATTCAGTGCCATTGTATGTACCAGGCTATGGATGGAAGAAAGCAGCTTATGGCTGTTGGGGCATTGGGTGGGTATCCCTGAATTCAAATCAATGTCCTTATTAATTAGCAAATAAAAGTACATACCAAAATGATGGTACAGCATTAGAGAGGATTTCTTAAAATATATATTTTAAACATACTGTATATATTAAAAACTTTCTTTCCCCCCTAAAACTATTAAATTCATACATATGTATATACTGTTAAGTCCTCGACTTACGACGAGCGTCCCTGATTGGCTAAGACGCACGGACTTGCCGGCGGGAGAATGTTGCCTTTCTATTGGTTGCTTGGTTTGACAGCTGTAGTATAAATAGCTGTCAAACCCGTTGTTTGCAGCTCTGTTTTCTCTCTACCTGTTCTGTTAGCAATAAACGTTTCTGTTTGACTTTACCTGGTCTCGCCTCAGTTAATGACCCCAGGGTTGCCGTCAGAGCACTGGCGGCGAGGATGGGATACTGAGGACAGAGACAGGTGGTCAACAGCTGAAGTCACTAGCGCTAAGCCAAGGCGCTCAGCTGAGTCACTTCACGACGAGACGTCGTGTAGAGGAAATTCCTCTCAGAAACAGAGCCCATCTGTCTAAAGAATGGCACCTCCGACATTCGCCCCCTTCAATCAGGCTACAGAAACCTGGAAGTCGTATGAGGCACGGTTTGAATGTTTTCTGGAGGCAAACGACTACACGGGGCTGACCAGCAGCCGGAAAAGAGCGCACTTCTTAAATGCCTGTGGTCCCGAAATGTTTTCAGTCGCCATGGCCCTGCTAGCTCCGGTTCCAGTACAGTCGGTGCCATGGGAGGTCCTGAGGGAAAAGCTCAAGCACCACTATGAGCCCACCCCTTCGCGCATCGCCCACCGGTACGCTTTCAGGCAAATATTACAAGCTGAGGGAGAGTCCATTAACCATTATATCGCCTCCCTCAGAACTGCTGCTTTTAACTGTGAATTTGCCGATCTAGAAGACTCCCTCCTGGAGCAGTTCGTGTGCGGTGTGAGGGACCTGAGGGTGCAACGACACTTACTCGAGAGAAAAGATATCACCCTCGCAACTGCCATTGAAGAGGCGCAGGCTTGCGAGCTATCAAGTAAGTCCACTCTAGAGATCCGCAAGGCGCAACCCAGCGCCCCCGTTAACAAGCCCAGCACCGTGCACTCAGAAGAACTAGACCCTGAGGTAGCCGAAGAAGAGGACGATGAAGTTAGCCGCCTTAAAACTGTCAAAGGACAGGGAAACCCCGCAAACAAAACCTTTGTGGGGCCTCCCTGTCAAGGGTGCGGAGAATTACACCCTAGAGCGGCTTGTTGCTTTAAGACCACCATCTGCCACAGATGTGGTAAAAAAGGACACTTGGCACGGGTCTGCCGGGCCAATATACCTGGCACATCATCCAAGCCCCCCAGCAGACCATTCCAGAAAGGGCCAAAGCCGGGCAGTGACTGTTTTGCCATTTCCAGGGCCAACAACATCCCTGCGAGGTCGGCCCGCCAAGAAAAAATCAGTCCCAACAAAAAAATTTACCTCACGGTAACCATTGAAGGAACCCCTTGCCGGATGGAGCTAGACACAGGGTCATCCAAATCTCTGATTTCCTGGGACACCCTGAACCGGCTGACCCCAAAAATGCAAAAAAACGCCCTCCTGCCAAGCCAAGTTCGCCTCAGAGACTACCAAGACAATGATATTCCCATCTTAGGTGGCGCCAATCTCCTTGTAGGACACAGAACCTTCACGGGCAAGCTACCCCTGCTCATCGTGAGAGATCCTCTGCCCAGCCTGCTTGGACTTGACTGGTTTGGCGCTCTGGGGCTGGGCATCACAGGCATCCATTCCACCACCCCACATGATTTTGAAGACATCCTGGCAGAATTCGCAGACGTCTTTAATGAAGAGTT